ATATTACTGGGTTGCAAAGGCATTTAAAATTCTGTCTCCTTTGTAGAATGCTCTGAAACTCTTCAGGATCTTTGTGTGCTCTTAGTCTTACTCCTGGTATAAAAACATCATCAAAAAGAGGGGTTTTCCTCACAAGCCTTTTTGGTAGGTACTTAACACCTAAGCCATGAGGCTGCGGGGTTGAGTCCATTCTGGAAATTGAGTAGGAATAATTTAGCTGCAATATGATTTTATCAGCTCAGAATCTTCACTGAGATATTAGCCAGTTTTTTTCAATAAAGCAAGGTTGATCATGGAAGATGATTCTGGGTTTGAACTTCTTTGATTTTTAGGTTATCTTATTTGTGTTTCACAACCGTGAAGACGAACAGTCAGAATGCACAAACACAAAACCAGAGAGAGCCAGTACAAATATACATTATTTTGATGTCTGCTACTTCCAAAGGTATTTTTTATTCAAAAGCAAGTTCACCTGCTTGGCATTTCTCTGGTTGTCTCTGCCTTGGTGTCACAGTAAACCCAGAATACTCTGTGTGTATCTTGGGTATAACTGGTAATTATTGTTGTGTTTGGTTCATTAAGCATTATTCCGTAGTGGAGCCCTGGTGGGCAGTGTCACGTTGCGGTGGGGAGTTTCCTTGACTGCATTTGCTTTTATGCTGAAACATCAGGCTGAGAGATTGTCTGAATTTGGAGGTTTTCCTCCGGAAGGTGTCCCTGGGTGTCAGCACCCACCCGTTCTGCTGCCCCCGGGGCACATTTGGAGGGAGTAGGTGCAGCTGTTTCTCCAGAAATCACGTCCATTTCCAGTGCTTTGTGCTGGTTCCTGCAGAGGAAATTGGTGTAAATGTGGCTGTGTGTTAGCACTGACGTTTGGGTGTTAATGTTGTATCATCTCTACAGACTCGCACTGACATTGTTCTGGTTTGTTTTCGTGTCAGAAAGTAATTTCGGTTCAAACATCAGTGACATCTTTATGTTTTTCCACTTTGATATTTTATTATTATCTTATACTCATGGGATATTGTCTTGGCAACCTAATTATGATTTCAGGCCCTACTGAAATGAAAAGTGAACAAACATCTCAGGGGAGAAAGAAAAATGACCCTAAATGTACATATTTATGATCCACGTACGTGCTTCTGCTCCAATTACCTGTTCCATATGCCTGAAGGTGTTTCAGCCACTTTATAACCTTTGGTTGGGCACAGAAGTCACATTAAGAAGGGCTCTGAATTCTGCATCTCTCATGTGAAGTTTCCTTCTCACACTGTCCAGTTCCTTGTAACATGGGTCGTCTCCCAAAATCGAGTAGCCTTAATTCATTGTGACACGAATGTAAACAAACACAGCTACGCCTAATCGGGTCATACTGCCAGTAAAACACAAAGCCAAAGATTCCCCCAAATCAATAATTGATTGAATTAAATCCAGATATCCAGATTTTATTAATCCATCAAACCTTATATGGAAATCTTACAGGCATTGTGAGAAAAATTGTAATGAGAAAAGGTTTATGCGCACGGTACTTCTCTTCAGAATCTGTAGTATATCAAGGATAGCTTTTCCTAATCCCCAATCCAGCGAATTAAATATTTAGTGCTTTCCCTTTACTTCTTAGGAAGCTTTTCTTGAATATGCTGAGAAGTCTGTATCTTTGGAGGGGCCCAGCAGTTTGGTAGTAGGTCTCCATTTGTGTGCAGTTCTGTGTCAGGTCACACAGATAAAATGACTTTTATTGAAACAGGCACGTAATGTACACAACAACTGGAGTGCCAGCACAGCAGCAGTCATAGTGCATGGATAATATACATAGAGATCTGTGCGTTGCCACAGGTGCTGGAGGGGAACACAGTCCTAGTCATTAATAAAAGGAGATCTGGCATTGCCTATACCGTAGCCGGAAGAAACCATCTGCATCATCGATGGATACAGATGGGGCTGGCGAGTGGAGATGGCTGTGCAGTAGGTGCTCTATGGCAGGCACACTAATTAAGCAGTTCTGAATCATTTACCAGGAGTGCTGAATAAGTAGTAATTGGATTCTCCTTCAATGTATAGAGTTTAAAGAAAAATTATGCAGTGAAACTCATCAGCATGCGTGTTTTATTACTGACCATTCTCACTGTTCCTGTATTGTCAATCTTTGCTAAATACCATGTCCCTGTAGGCTTTAGTAAATCCGTGTACTAGAGGAAATAACAAAGGCATTAAAGGATTTCATGTGGGCAACAAAATCTCCTATTTCCATCAATATCTGAGTGACTTCCAAAAAACCCACATTGTTGCATATGGGACAGGGTCATCCTATTAAAAGAACATTTAAAAAAGTCTAGAATTCCTGATTTTTCACTGTTTTAAAAATCTCATTTTGACATCTAAATTATATCCTAATCACTTTTGGAATATTGAAGGACTGATGTCCACTGCTGTCAAGATTTTCTAATGTGATCTGAAAACTAACAGCAGTATTGTTATTTCATAGAAGAATTTAGTGTTTGTTCCTAACATTTCTCCCCCCCCTCCCCCCTTTCTTTTTTGTTTCTATTATTGTCATAAAAAGATATAAAGTCCCTATTGGACTCATGTGCAGAACGTAAAGCACAAAGCATGTCCTGAAAGGTAATTTTCCAGGAATGAAAAATACAAGAATTGTGTTTGATAGTTTGGGCTTCTGTCATCGCTGTTGCATTAAACCAGCCCTTTCTCTGTAACTATGAATGGCCTGAATCTTGAAAACTGAGAGTTATAAATTAAAAAAAAAAAAACCTTAATAATTTGAAATAAAAGCCCTTAAAAAGTTCCAGGATGAATTTGAATACAAGATGGGGTACAAAAGGTGGTGCACAAAGAAAGATCCGTCTCACCCGGGGCAGGGTAAGGAGATGCCCACCTCTACCAGCCGTGGGATCTTGGGCTCAGCGCAGTCAATTCCTGCCAGATGCTGATTTCATCTGGGTTATAAAGCGTCCTACAACAGTGAATTCAAGCAATTACACTTGCAGAGCATGCAGAACCACAGCAATATCTGTCTGTGAGTCTCTCAGGGACAGGATCTAGAAAAGCATTTCTTCTTTTGGGTAGGTTTTTTTCAGTTTGATTTTTCAAGGGCACTTAATGTAGTGGTAATTACATTTAGGTGCAAAGATGCTCCTTGGTTTACCTCTTTCTGTTCAATATTTTCTTTAGGAACAAGCCGCTTCCCCAGCCCCAACCCCCTCTGCTGGTGCCAGCATGAAATATTTCGTGCTTTGCTCAGTTTGTCTGGGAGAGAGGAGCTGGGCAGAAGCACAGCAATCCCAGCAGAGTGGAGAATCTGCTGGTTCCAGGTGCTCATCAGCAACACTTAACAAGAATGTAAAGCCACATCGTTAAATCTGGATGGCACTTGCGAGGAGAATTGTGCCTTTAATATCAGTGGGGCTGGGATTTCATCCTCTGTGTCTTGTCACAAATAGCAAATTTAGTGGAATAACAATGGGTCATTCGAAGTTCTCTTGGTGAGTGATCCCTATAAAATTGTCTGCTGTTCTTCCTCAACACGGGCCTGTTGCTGCCTTGTGAAGCCCTGGGAGCACGGGATTCCCAGCCCTCTCCAAAATCTTATAATGACATTTTTGTTATTTCCTATAAAGCATGGATTTAATAAAGCCTGCAGGGACACGGTATTACTGAAGATTGACAAGGTGGAAATTGGCATAAATGTTCAGTAGTAAAATGCTAAAAATCATGATAATATTTTATAAAGCACACGGCAAATGTAGTTTAAAATATTGAGCTCATTTGAAAATCTAACGATCTCACAGCACATACACAGTGTGTATTTGCACACACAGATATGCTGAGTGCTAAGAGAGAGATACCTATTTTTAATAGAAATAAAGACAAAGTACATTCTCATTATTTCATAATCTACTAGACCTGTAAAGGACTTACTTTCATCAAATTGCATATTTATTGCCTTCAGCTATTCCTCTTTCTCTGATACTGTATTCCCTTCATCTGCATATAGACCGTGTCCTCTGTCATCCTTTGGCGATGCCGGTTGTATTCAGTACTTTCTCATCCGCCTTCATCAATTGGTCCCTTCTGACTTATTTTTGTTGCTGTTCTCTGAATTTCTCACAAAACAGAAAAACTACTGAAATAAATCCCTATGTTGCTAAAAATCAATGGGGGTTTCCTGGTTTTGACAGCAGCAACTAGGGGTTGACTCAATTAGAAGAGTTGTAGGAAAGGAAAAGCTCGTATTCCGGGGCTTCTGTGTCCATGTCTGAGGACAGGAATTCGGAAAATAAGACACCTCAGCTTATACATTGCTGAAAGAGTGCCCTTGGACCCGAGAAAGCTCACAATCTTGCAGTTTCTGGCCCTACAGAAACCACTTTTCCACTTCTATATCGCCTTAAAGGGGCTGCGGTACACGGGAACAGTGTAAAAGCATATTGAAAATTTCCTCTAAGTGGGTATGAAATCACAGTTTGCTTATTCCGCTGTTGGAGTGCTACAGTAATGCTGTTCATATCAATATATTTCTCTGTGGTTAACACTCTGATCCCTGTTAAATCTGCAGCAACTGTCTCAAGGAAATTAAATTCAGTGAAAGAAAGGAAGATTTTGTGGTTAAGGCACTGGGCTCTCGCTCGAGAATAAGGTTTAGTTTCTACTTCTTCCACAGACTTTGTGTGACCTCAGGTGACTCATTTAATCTGTCTGTGCCTCAGTTCCCCACCTTTAAAACCAGCAATAGTGGTGATGCACTTTTTTGATGATTCTGATGCTTCTGTCAGTTTTCTTGGCAGTTCTTACACTAGAATAATTTGATATTTTTGTGTGTGTGTGATTCAAAGTCCTTGCAAAGCACAATCCTGACAGCTATTGAGTTCTAGGGGGGGTTTTAGTTTTTAATAAATCCAAAAAGGTATTTAATCAATTGAACGAGATGAATCAAAGGGTGCAACAACATGAAAACTGTGTATTTTCCTTTCCTTCCCTTTCAGGAAATGATAACAGTGAAGCCCTTCCAGAGTCTATCCCATCTGCTCCTGGAACACTGCCTCATTTTATGGAGGAACCAGATGATGCCTACATTATAAAAAGCAACCCCATTGTCTTACGCTGTAAAGCTATGCCAGCTATGCAGATTTTCTTCAAGTGCAATGGTGAATGGGTCCATCAAAATGAGCACGTGTCTGAGGAAAGCATGGATGAGACGACAGGTAAGGGCTAACGTCCCCCGCGGGAGGTGTCTGAACACAGCCTCTGTCACCAACGTACAAATAGAGCAAGGGGCAGGAGATGATGGTCAGAGATGCACGAACAGGAGGGTGGTGGGACTTGGTGGGTAGTTGGAGGCTTGCTCTGAGCAGACTTTGGGACTTTGGGACTTGGTGGGGAGTTGGAGGCTTGCTCTGAGCTGACTTTGGGACTTGGTGGGTAGTTGGAGGCTTGCTCCGAGCTGGTTTGGTGGCTTGGTGTGTCCCTACAGCCAGCTCCCGGCTGCTCCTGGGGGACAGGGGGGACACAGCTTCCTGAGATGCAAAAGGGAAACAGCAGAGGGAAGAGGGTAAGGCCAGGACAGAGCTGACAGGCAGAGAAGGGAATACAGACCCCGGCAGAAGAGGCAGAGCATGAGTGGGGAAAACAACGGAATTTAAATGCCCACAGATGTAGGAGGCATTTCACAGAGACGGTGACACACCAGAGATGCACCACCAGCATTTTCAAGTGGAGACATGGGGCATGGTCAGACTGGCCACGGACAGTGAGTTTGCTGAAAGAAAATAACAGTTCTGGAGTATTTCAGTGGTGTAATTTGTAATGGGAACTAGAAACAGGGAAATACATGCTTCTCTGGAACTCCTGCCAGGATGAACCCTGAAAAACCACCAGTTTGTGATGGTTGAAATTTACCTTCACTCCAAGGAGAAACAGGTATTCGATAGGGAATAAAGCTAAGTGGGAGAAATCCATTGTGTAAGAGCGTGTGTCTAGAAGAAGAGAATGAGAAGGGAGAAAGTTGAAAATGATCAACAGATTTTATCCTGCTCCCAGCACACCCTGTATCTTTTCTCATTTAGAAGCATCTTGATAAGTATTGCAAACCAATTTAATGCTGCACCGTCTTGTAATTTCACAATTCTGTTTTGTTATTGCTTTTCTACTCTTTTTAAATTCCAAGATTGCTAGGCAACTCCATGTCTTGGAAATAGCAGTGTATGCATAACATCCTCTCTATCAATACAAGAAATTCCTTTTTTAGAGGAAAAAATGCCATTTAAAAAGAAGTTCCATCTCCAAAAGTGGTGTTTGGCATTCTTTTTAAGCGACACATTCTGAAGAAATTTCATACTAACGGCTTCTTGTAAATGCTAATCTGGATGAATTTTAATTTTTACAGTTACCTTTTCAAAAATAATTTAATAGGCATAACCTTTACTTCTGAAGGCATTGCTGAATCAATATAGAAGAAGTGTCGTCCCTAAATGTTTTTCTTCCATATGGTTAATGAAAATCTGTCTTGTGAATACTGCAATTATGTTTTCTAAGCCTTGGATTAATAACAGAATGAAAAAAGATGAAGTAACATTAGGTGTTTTTTTTTAAATAACACCAGTAACGTTGAGGTTTGAGCCATGGAGGCATCGTTTCAGCAAATGGGGTCTGGAATATAAATGTTGCAGGTTTGAATTTAGCCCAGGGATGGAGCTAACCCTACAAGTGGTGTTCTCTGAACATCACTGTGGTCCAGACAGTGCCGTGGGTCTGCGTGTTCCAGAAATTACTGTAATGGTCCGTAGGACACAAGGCTGCAGGCGAGGGCTGTGTGCAGTGTAACGGGGGAGGATGTGGGTATTCTCTCACTATCCGTAAATTATTTTTGAGCTCTTCCTTGGCCTTCAGTAAACAGCAGACTATTGGGTTTTTTAGAATTAATGTGCATCCTGGCAGTGCCCTCATTTCTGGAGTCAAATCTGGGACATAAACGTGCCTGGGCTCCAGCTGGGAAAAGCAGCTCTGGGGCTGATGCCAAGGACGGTGCCTCTGGTTACAGGGGGTGATTCTGGGGCACTGCCTTCAAACGGGTCTGACCTTCTCCAGCCTTCCTCTATTTGTTATGTGATTAAAATTCTGAGAGGATCTATAGAAAAGTGGTGAAAAATAGCAACAGGAAACCCAAATAAGAGGGAAATGTAAAGCTGAACACAAGAAATGTATCACAGCATCTCTCTAAGTTGCTGCCAGGCAGCCCTCAGCCAGGCACACACCAGGAGCACTTGGCAGTGGCACTGGAAGGCACAGTGTTCTGATGGCTTTTACCTACAGCACTGGGTTGTGTGTGTGTGGGGACAGGAGGGACAGCTGGTGGTGGCAATGGGTGTATTTCTCATTGTGATGAACACGGAATCCGGTTTCGCAAGGTTTTGGTTTTATAGGACAGAAATAAAGATCTTAGAGTACCAGAGGAGTCGCTGTTAATTTGCAGAGGAGGAGCAGCAGGAGAGGGAGGGTTCCTGTAGTTGTGTTTGGTTTGTGGGTACCTGCCACACGAGGTGCTGCCTGAGGATGGGGGGGTCCTGCTGGGCTTGAAGGGTTTGCACCAAGGTCTTTCCTGTTGTGGCTTTGGTGCTGTTTGTGGGCAGGGCAGGTGAGAACACCCGTGCTGCAGTCACCATGAATATGGGGTCCCAGCTCTGCGCTGCCACAGTCACTTGGTCACTTGGTTAGTTGATCAACTGAAAGCTATTTCAGCTTCTTCCATGAATATGGGGTCCCAGCTCTGCACTGCCACAGTCACTTGGTCAGTTGATCAACTGAAAGCTATTTCAGCTTCTCCTGCCTTATTTCCTCCATTGCAGAAAAGAGGGTAATCCATCGTCTGCCTTTTCTCTCTATTCCATAAACATGGCAGAAGAGGAACCTTGCTCTCTCTGTGTACTCTGCCTCATAAAATGAGAGCCTGAACTAGTAGATATTACTGGGATAAAAACATAATAATTGGTGTTTGATTAATTTCCTTCTGCTTTATTTTTCTCGCCTGAACCTTGCAGCATGCACCTCAGAATTAGTTTACAAATATTTCAACTTTTGGTTTCACCAGAGGATCAGTCCTGCTAAGAGTAACTAGAGTTTTCTTGTCTGATAAATAAAAGGATTACAGCAATAACTGCTGTCAGTGTTTTTCTCATTTAAACAAATAAAGCTGACAAATGCTGAAGTTCTGTGCAGCTCTGTTATGTTTAGTACATGGAGAGCAATTATTCATCTGCTGCCAGCATTAGTCTATCTGCAGCTAAACCATCCAACAGTGCGGAAAGCTTATTAGCATATCACTACCATAGTCATAATTTTATATTCTGTAAGGCTGTACTGTATAACAAAAGATGATGGTTATAATTTGCACAATAATTTAAAGGGTTGGACTTGCAGCGCTTATTAGAGTTACACAAGTCACAGGTAAAATGTTGCTCTTGTTGATTATGTGCCTGGTTTTATTTGCATGGATTTTTCGATCTGTGTCATTTCCTATGAACAATTTTTCTGGCATTTCTTGAGATGCAGAGGGTAGGCGAGTGTATTTGTTGGTGAAACGTAGTGATGATAAATGAAGAATATATGCCTCTGTTCCCAGTAGGTTTGCTTTCTGTAGTTGTTTCTAAAACAAATGAAAATAGGTCTGCTTTCTCCATAAGCAAAACATAACTATCCCCAAAGAAGAGATGTTCTCCAGAGGTCCCTCCCAACCTCAACGACTCTGTGATTCCACTATTTTGGATGCATTTATTTTGTCTATTGGCAAATGGGGAGACCTTTAAGAGCACCTGAATTCCTACCTGTCCCATTCTCAAAATGCTGAACCACCAGCTTCTCAAAACCATGTGCTGCTTGTTTGCCTGATTCAAACCACATTAAATGTTGCTTCAGAAAATATAGGCTGATCTATAGATTAATTAAATCGTGTGTCAATGAAAGGAAGAGCCGGCATGGAGAATATTCCAGCTTAATGAATCTGAATTTGTAGCTGCCTCTATCCTCTGATGACTGCTCAGAGCCGTGCGGTACCGGGGAGCCTGGAATGGCTTCTGCTGCTCAAAAAAATCATCCTCGTGATGATTTTTTCGTTGGTATCGGTGAGGGTTCTGTTGCTGTCAGCACGGATGCAGCAAGAAGCTGTATGAGGTGCAGTTCTCACCCCCTTGTTTCTATTTGCTGCTTCCAAAAATTCCTGGAGTAGCTCAGGAGCGGGGAGCTGAGAAGGGAGCGAGGCAGAGCCGGGTGGGCGACGGGCAGCGCTGTCAGCGGGGCCATGGCTCGTGGCTGGGGACAGGAGGGTTGTGTCCCCAGAAGATGCTACGTCGAGGTGGTGGTAGGAATGAGCTGGGAGGGGAGGGGACAGCTGGAGACACTGGGGTCTATGGCTCTGTACCTTCCCCACGACAGGCAGTGACCCTGTTTGCAGGCAGCCTGAGCAGGAGGGCAGAGATGAACCCGGGGCTGCTCAGAAGCGTGTGAGGGCTAATGGAGTGCTGCTGAGGGGCTCCTGATGAGACCCTCTCGGAAGGGTCAGCCTTTGTCAAGGACTTAATCCTTTCACAGCCTTGTTGAGGAAGTCCTTAAGTAGATGGGTTGCAGCCTTCTTGGACGTGGCTGCAAATTAGCCGGGCTTTGGAGGCTCTGGAGGCTTGGTGGAGGTGGTTCAGGGGCTGCACACAGCGAGATTTGCCAGAGGAGAGGAAGAGGAGAGTGTGTGGCTGTCACTGTCACACAGCACCGTGGGACACCAGGTCTTCAGCCAGTTAAGACCCGCTGTGTCAGGTCACCAGGACTCCAATGGTCCCTGATGGAACTGACTGTGGCTGTTCCTGTCTTTAACCCCTCTCAGAGTGGGTGTACGGCTCAGAATCCCAGGTTTTGTCACTGGAGGAGCAGCTGGATGTTTAAATTGTGATGGTGCGTTTCCATCCTGCCTCTGCATCAGGGCATCAGCACCAAGAGGGGTGTCGGGCAGAACTGCTGAGCTCCACGCACTCTGTTTACTTCATACTGGCTTGTTTTCACCATGGCAGGAAATAAAGGGATGTTTTGTAAACAGTTTTGTTGAAAACTGCATCAGCGTATTGAAAAAAACCACCAAAATGCAAATAAAAACAACCAGGAGACCTCTGTTTGTTTATTAGAGAGAGAATAAATATTTGAGGGACTAAAATGATCATTGAGATAACTTAGGAAGCTGTCGCAGGTTTGTCCATGGCTTTAGGTATTGTGTATGACAAGCCAAGCAGGTGAAATGAAAAGAAGTAAAAAATCCCCTTTCCCTGTTGCTGGAAGAAGCCACAATTTTGTATTGCTCTGTGGTATTTAAAGCTTGTCTGCCCTGCCCTGCCCCTCTGTGCTCAGCATCCCCAGCGGCCCCATCGCTCCTGTTTACCAAAGGAACGCATTGACTTCCCAGTGCCTTTCAGGAGTGAAATACCCAGCTGTTAATGATGCCTGAGATTAAGTGGAAGCCAATTTTTATGGAGTTCAGGTTTAGAAATTTCTTGCTGCTTTATAAACTTCACAGGCATGAAATATTTTAAGATTGAGTTTTCATTCATTTCCAGTGAAGGGGAAATAAGTATCTTGGGACTGCACAGGAGGAGAAAGAAGAAAGTAGTGGGCATGAATGTTTTCTATTTTCAAATTAATGTTTTTCTGACTAGCTCTTTCAAATGAGTCCTAATGCCTTTTAACCCAGATTTAGATTATATTTCCTCTCCCCGAGCTTGTCGTGCAAAGGTGGTTGCAGATACGGCGAACATCCCAAGGGTATAAAAGGTGTCAGGTTTACAAGGCATCTTGATAATCCTGTATTTACCTTCAAGCTTTGGCTGAAGCAAATGTTTCTGCTCTGAAGGGCAGCGCTGCTGAACTCCACCTCTGCCCAGGGGACTATGGAAATGGTAACGGGCTAAGGAGCAGCAAGGGGCTGTTCCCATCTTTACTCCTGGCTGCCCCTGGTTATTCCCTTAGATCCTTCTCTCAGCTCTTCAGGTATAACTGATTCCTACCTCAGGAAAGAGATGTGCGCTCATTTTCATAGACAACCAAGTGTGTTTGCAGTAGACAACAACAGCATTGCACTGCAGAGGAATTTAGCAAGGTTATGCTTTGGGAAACAGCATAAAATAAGTAAAGTATATAACCACTTTGTGAAAGTTGGTAAAGGCAAGGCTTCAGTTGTGTGATTGTTCACTTGCTTCCCGGAAGAACAGGTTGGTGAAGAGCACCATCCCATTTGTGAGCTGTGAGATCCATTCTCTTCTCTTCCTTTTCTCCTCCTTCCAGCCTGCGATGGCTGGAGCTCAGCTCTCCCTGTGCGGCAGCTGGATGGGGCTGGGGCAGCACGGGGTGGACGGGCTGGGACTCAGTGGGGTGTTCGATTGGTTCCTGTCATACCTGCATAATTCTGGTGTTTGACTCAACTGGGGGCCTACCAGGGTATTTCAGAAAGATTTTCAAGGGCACTGAGATGTTGGATGGGAAGACAATTTTATTCTATATCATGTTATAAAATCCTGGGTAAACATTCTAGGTGAAAAAGGCACAGGAGACGAGGTTTCGGAGGGAGGTGTTCTGTTCTTGCAAAGACCACAGTGGGTGGGTAATTCTTGTAACTCAGTGCATTATGACCTACTCAGCTTTTAGAATTTAATTAGTGGCAATATATTATTGTCAAAGTAATTAAAGCTTTGCCTTGATTAAAAGTGGAATTGTTTAATTAAAAGAGAAGGTTTGGCTAACCTTAGCTTTATGCCCAAGCAAGAGAGCCTGTATCAGCTAATTTTCTGTACCTTTCCCCTTCAGGACTGAAAGTTCGAGAGGTTTTCATCAACGTGACGAGGCAGCAGGTGGAAGATTTCCATGGGCCAGAGGATTACTGGTGCCAGTGCGTCGCGTGGAGCCATCTGGGGACCTCAAAGAGTCGGAAGGCATCGGTCCGCATCGCCTGTGAGTGGAGTGAATTTCTGCTCTTCTAGGTTTTGTAAGGCGTGGAAACAATAGTCTTCTCATAGTGTTAAATATAAATGGATGCTCTTGTAGCACGGTATTTTAAATCTGGTTTTCAATATTGAAGCATATCATTGGTCATCAGGTACGATACGCTGTGGGGAAAATGAGATAAAAGTAGGAAAAATTGAATAATTCCAGTCAGTAGAGGAAAAAATATCTTCCCTCCTTTCTCTGAGGAAATGAGATACAAACATCCTGAGCAGAACTGAAACCGCTGCAGAAATTCTGCCAATTCTGCCAATTCTCTATGGGTGACAGCATACACTGTTTAGAAAAAACACCCCAACTTTAAATGCTGTTTATACAGATATTTATAAGAGCCACTACTGAGGATAACAAAGTCATTCATAAGGTAGGTAGGTAGGTGGTCTTCCACTTCTTTAACTATGGAGTTGATGTGAAATCTAGATCAGGTGGTCATTCAGAGAAGTTAAAGAGTCTTAGGGAGGGTTTCCTTCTTGTGACAAGGTGAAAGTATTGTTCTTGTGCTTCATCCTTTCCCCCGGTCTGTTGTGAACCCTTTTCCTTTTAGTCACCAGTTGAGGTCCTTACAGCCCCACTGCCAGGACATGACAGCAACAAACTGCACAGTTGGGAGAAATGCTTCTTGGAAGATGAGGAGCAGGAGAGAAGGGTTGGGGAGGGTCAGGCAAGAAACTCTGAACAGTAACTTTATCAGGCAGTGTTCTAGCAATTCTTGATAAATCTTTTAACAGGATAACTTAAAATAAACATTTGAGATAAATAGCAGGACAATGTAGCAGCTTCTTGATTTTATAAATGACAGCTTTTTTTTGTTGGCTGATTTAGTTTGAATGTGTAAATATGTGTAAATTCAATTTTTTATTTTACGGCATTAACTGTCATAACATTGAATGAGCTAATAATTCCCCTGTATTGCTAAGCTGCAAAGGACTATTATTCTGAATTGAATTTTTATTGACTTTTCTCCGCGCTGTGATTTCCCAACCCCATAATATGGCAATATGAGTAAAAATCAGAATGAGCAGAAGCAGGTGGAGCTGTGTGTTGGGACTTTTAAACCCATCACTGTGGTACCAGTTCTGCAAACCACATCCCCAGCTGCCATCCGTAACGGCAGATATTATATTAACCGACGGGCTCTCCAGAGAGGGCTCTTCTTTTCTGCTTTATGGAATGTGCTGAGGGCAGCTGAACATTCAGCCTGAGAACTGTGCTCCTGAACTGGCCATTTGCTGTCCTACTTTTACCTGAAGCCATGGGATTTTATGAAAAGAACAGCAATTCTTGAGGGCAGAGATGCTGGGACTTGTTAGCAATTGGGACAGAAAGAATGAAGAGCTGCCACCAGATGTCTCTGAACCCCCCCATGAGTCTCCAGGGCTCGACCTGTGTCACCCTGAGTGTGGTGACATGGATTTCTGCTCAGGGAATACCCTGCAGAGCACCAGAGATGAGAACGAGTTGGTCCAATTTGTGACAGCACACAGAACACATAACTCTCACAGCCCCTCTCATTGGGATGTCTGCTGGGATAGTGTCAGCTTTTTTTTTTTTTCCTTTCTTTCCTTTTTCCTTTTTTTTTAACACTTAAAGCCTAGAGATTCTGAATTGTGAGTCAAGTCCAAGCACTACAGCACTCTATATTTCTCTGAAAAAGCAGGTAAGTATTTCTTTATGGTAGTGTGGAATGCGGGGAAAGTGAAAAGATGGATCTTACTCCCTTTTTCATCCTAATAAAGGCATTTGTAGGCACAACTGCAGCCCAGCTGTTAATGAAAGACTTTTGAAATAGGGTACTGGAAAAGATACTGGTTATCTGTGTGAAAAAACAATCAACATTAATGAAGAATCATAAAAAGGAGAATACATACACTGCGTGCATCTTTCTCTGGTGACTGGCTGGCTAAAATAAGTCTTACTGTATTTTATAAAATATATTAAAGCGTAACTGATTCAGAGCCTCTGCTGTTTAAGGGGGTGTATTTCATGAGGTGTAAGCAATGGAGAAAATTAAATCAGTAAATCCACACTGTGGAATTTGAGACACTGATAGAAGAAAATGAGTACGTCTAATGGACACATCCTAACTCTCAAACCACATGCAGTAAGTAACATTCCTCCCATTTCTTTTTTTTTTTCCATTTTCTTTTCCTTTCACAGCAAAAAAACCTTTACACATTCACGGGTGTATCTGGGACAGATCAATATTTCGCAGCCTACATAATGGTGTTTGGGGAGGGATGACTTTGAGGAGGTATAATGAATTATTGCCTTCAACTCTGCAGATTTACGGAAGAACTTTGAGCAAGACCCCCAAGGGAAGGAGGTTCCCATCGAGGGGATGATCGTTCTGCACTGCCGGCCGCCCGAGGGGGTCCCTGCAGCCGAGGTGAGGCTTCGCGTGGTGTCACTGCTGGGGTGGGGGACCACTGTCCTGTCCCAGATAAATCAGCTGTCTTGGTGGTACAAACTTCCACTTCTTCCACTTCCGTCCTAAGTGGTACTAACTTCCACTTAGGACAAGGGGTAATGGCTTCAAGTTACGCCAGGGGTAGTTCAGGTTAGATATTAGGAAACATTTCTTTACTGAAAGGGTTGTCAGGCATTGGAATGGGCTGCCCAGGGAGGTGGTGGAGTCACCATCCCTGGAGGTATTTAAGAAACGTGTAGACATGGTTCTTCAGGGCATGCTCTGGTGCCCAACATTATTGGTTTGTCGTGGGCTGCTGAGTGGGTGGGTGATGGTTTTTTGGTTTGGTTGTTGTTGTGTGTTTAGGTGGTGGGTGGGGTGGTGTTGTTTTGTTTTGTTTGTTTGTTGTTTTTTTTTTTGTGGTTGGACTCGATGATCTCTGAGGTCCCTTCCAACCACCACGCCTCGGTGGTACAGACTTCCACTTCTCTTATTCCTTTCACCCTGCTCCCCTCATGCCACGAAACTAGACAGACTTTCTGGTAAAACAGGTGAATATCTATTAATAAAATGCCCCAAAACAAGTGCAGAGTTATAGAAAAAGGCTGGAAACAAGCAGTTGCAAAGTGAAATGGAGTGTGATGTGGCCACTACTTGACTGGAAAATGCCTTTCTTGGCTGGGGAAGTGTGTCTGACATGCCACGAAACTAGACAGACTTTCTGGTAAAACAGGTGAATATCTATTAATAAAATGCCCCAAAACAAGTGCAGAGTTATAGAAAAAGGCTGGAAACAAGCAGTTGCAAAGTGAAATGGAGTGTGATGTGGCCACTACTTGACTGGAAAATGCCTTTCTTGGCTGGGGAAGTGTGTCTGACCTGCAGCCCTGGGGGCACGTGTCAGCCTTGGGAGCCAGGGGCCCAGTTTTCATGGAGGAACTCTGCCTTTTCCAGTGCCTTCAAATTCTTATTAATAAAATGCCCAAAATCGAGTGCAGAGTTAATAGGGAAAAGGGTGGAAACAAGCAGTTGCAAAGTGAAATGAAGTGTGATGTGGCCACTACTTGACTGGAAGATGCCTTTCTTGGCTGGGGAAGTGTGTCTGACCTGCAGCCCTGGGGGCACGTGTCAGCCTTGGGAGCCAGGGGCCCAGTTTTCATGGAGGAACTCTGCCTTTTCCAGTGCCTTCAAATTCTGGTCGTCTGCCTCCTCCTTTCCCCATTCTCTGTCCCAGCTCTGCTGCTCTGGGTCTCTCTCTCCAAGGTGTAAGTGCTATCAAAGGCTTCCCAGTTGTAGCCAAAGCTGTTTCCTGGATTCAGCTCTCTTTCACCCACCACTCACAGCTTTGTGCCCTTCAAATATTCCCTGTGTCAAATCCCCAGTGTGTTCACTGAAGGAACACTCTTTAACGTGGAAGGACCCCAGACCCTTCCCTAGAGGATTATAGAACCTTTTCCTACATTGACTCTTTTCTTAGTCTCAAGACTATGTGACCAGGTATGTCACTTTGGTTTTGTTAGTAATTCTGAAAATACAGCATTTAAACATGAGCAGAAGGTTTTCAAGTGAAAAACTATATCAAATCTATGTGAGACCAAAAGAAACAAATGACGATAGGTACATTTATACCCTTCGAGTATGGTTTGCTGAACTGCTTGTGTACGTTTGACTGTTTTCCAGTTCCTGTATAGTTAAATAGCCAAAAATTCTATCTTCGTTGGAATTCAGCCATTTAGGAAAAAATGGTGATTCTCTGTTAATGCTACTTGAATTTTGCTGAGAATTTTAGAATTATTTGAACTACACTGCTTTACACTCAACAATTATATAGAATATCTATCTTTTATGAAAGTTAGGAATTATATCCAATGAAAAACTGGCATTTTAATTGCTTTCTACAGATAAAAATGGTATTGAGTTCTCAGTAAACCCTGATTTACTAATGTTGATTGTAAAATTGTTATTGCTGCTAATAAAGCCTGTAAATCTTAACAGGTCATATTTGCTTTGGATGATAAAATTTCATATAAAGGCACAGGATGCAAGGGTAATTCTGTGCTCATCAAGGTAAACAGTCTCCTGGAAATAATTCAGTGTCTTTAGAAACTGGGTACCGGATTCAGAGAAGTGATGGCTCTGGTTTGTGGCAGTGAGCTTGAGGTTGTAAACTCTTTTGGTATTTTCAAGTTAAAGGTGACCTGATCTGTTACACATGCGGATGAGAAATAACTGGGGTAGTCATTAAGTCCTGCTTAATAATTGTCCTGTGGGTACTGATAAGTGTAGAAGGTTCAAAACCCTGTGCTGGCAACGAACCTATGGTTCTGATCCAGGAATTTATTTCATTAGAGTTTGGATGAAGCCCTGGATGAAAACATAAGGCTTGAAATAACTACAGACAAAGAAACTCGTCTTCTGTTTTATTAGATGCAAAATAGATGCTAATTGTGGCATTGTTAGTTTTTGGTTGGTTGGTTTTTTCTAATCCATACTCTGCGTGGACCTGGAAATGCAAACTGAAAACAAAATGGGTAGGAGACTCCAGCCCTGTTCACGTTACCATGCCAATGGCTGTCTGGATCCCTTGGGAAGATTTTGATTATTCCATCAAGTGCAGGAGTTCAGGAACATTATTTTCCCAAAGAGCAGCCATTTTCTGGGCTTGCCATAGTCACACGTTAATGTAGCGATTTATTTCTGACAATGGCTGTGAGTGACTGAGCCAGTCAAACCCCTCATCAGCCAGTGCAGCTCAATAAGAGGCAGACACTTTACAACTGGAATGAAATTTAAGTTCACCTCAATTATTTATGTGAGCCTGCCCCATTATCAAGAATATAAATCTTCATCTCTGGAATTGTTTTTCTGCAGCTTAGGGGTGCTGAAGATTTCTTAAATCTAAGGATAGAAGCCTTAAAAGTAAATGTTCTTGATCTACACCATAGCTTAATCTGAAAAATCCTCTCATTAGTCCTGTAAGAGGTGGAAAGCAGGGATATTTTTTGGTGCTGGCTGACATCATAATTTCCTCAGAACTACCAGGAGGAAGAGCCTTTCTTTCCCACTATTCCTTTCCGTGTGTCTAGTCACTCCTCAGGTGTTTTCACTGAAGTGATTTTAGCCATTGCTAATGTTTCCTTAAACCTGGGTGAGTGGGTCTGAGCAGTGTTGGTGGGCAGAGGTACCTGGTACAAACACATCAGCATTTCCCAGGCGTGTTTCTGCCACCACGTGCTGTCGGTGGCAGCCCCTCACTGTGCTTCTGTGCAGGAAGAAGTACCTCTCAGTACTAAACATTTTTATTTATTTATTTCGGTTTGGGGTGGGACAGCGGAGTCCCACCAAGACCAAACCTCACAGAGAGGTTCTTTAGAGAGAGTTCCTCTAGGGCAGGTTTAGTTTTGTTGGGAGAAATGTCTGATTCTACCATCTGCTCCAGAGTGAGTAAGGCTACGTGTTTCCTCACCAGAAGCCATGAAAATACACAAACTAAGTTTGCTTATATGCAGAAATTTCCACACACAGTAGGTATAAAAGGAGTTTGGAGAATATGGATTGACGGTTTGGATCCATAGTTTAAATGTATGTAAACTTTATATCTGAAGTGTAAATGGCTTAAAACTTGGCTTGGGTAAATTAATTTACAAATAATGGAAGCTCTTGTGACATTGTCGGTGCTCTGCTCATACAGTTCAGTTTTAATAAATAGTCTTTAAGCTGAATGACACATTAGTGAAAGCAAACAATCGAGGAGGATTACAACTGAGGAAGGGCAGGATTCTCATTGCGCTTTAATGTGATACAGGCGTGGATCAGGAGCACCAAATCCTGCTGAGGCCAGCACCGATCTTACTGCTGCACTGAAATGCTCTGTACTGTCTTGATTCATTTAGCAGCAAATTTCAGTTGCTTGTGTCAGCTCAGTCTTCAGTAAAAGATGTGTAGAGGAGCATCTCTCTCTATCTCAATCTTTCCAAGAATTTGATTACAGTCTTCATGGAAGCCAAAGTCCATCTCTTGTGTGTGAAATACTATGGAATGTGCCTGATTTTGCTACTAATAAAACCTCATGGGGCAACAGCCATTAAGAAAACTGAGTAACTGGGGTGTTCCCTGCCTCTGGATGTGGTGATACCAAACACCATCCCTGGGAGCACCACGGCTGAACGCGCTGCCCGTCGCTTTGCACCAGGTCCAGCTCAGGCACTTTCCACCACTCGAGAGCCCACCCTGCGTTTCTCTAACCTTCCTTAGCAGGTTGGTGCTTGCTGAGGGTTTGGGTGCGTTGCCACAGCAGTACGGGAGGGAGAAAACCCAAATCCCAACACCAGGCAGACTGGAAAAAGGTTTTAAATCCTCTCTGTGTGCATTCACATGGCAAGCAAACCAGAGCTGGTGAGCAGCTGTGCTTGCAGGCATCAGCACCCAACCCAAATAAATTCCGTTTTTATGAGTTAAACATCAAAATAAAAAAGAAAATCCAGCATTTAAGTAGAGCATCTGATAATCCCCTGCTGTGGCAAATGTTGATTTAAATATAACAGAGTCTCTGCTGGCACAGGCTTGATGGGACCAGAGCCATTTCTTTCACTATTGATGCAGAGTTGGCCTAAGGAAGAGACAGTTCTGGCTCTCAGTCCCCACAACAGATTCTCCCCATAGAAATGTTTATTAATTGTGTGCAATAGAGGCCTCATTCAGCTTGGAGTGTGCTCATGAGGCAGTTGTATAGTACAGGAATCCACTAAACTCTCTGCTGGATCCTTCTCTGCTGGTCACTTCTGCTGGGCTCCCAGGGGGTGCCTCGGGCTCCATCTCTGGCCCCAATTCTTGTATTGTTTCTTCTGTGGTGCACAGTGCTGTGTTTCCTGTACACATGTTTTGTGCTTGTTTATCGTTGTTGTGTAAGTTTATTTTATTGCTTTGCATTATTCCTAAGAAGACGCAGCAGTTATTCATGGTGCTCTCCTTTGTCTCAC